TAAAGTCAAAAAAAAAAAATAAAGAATCAACTTCCTACAACTATATTTTTTACCTTATGGGTAAAAAATATAGTTGTAGGAAGCTGATTCTTTTTTTCTTCAATCTGTAATTGCAAAGCCTCATTGTACTATGGAAAATCCTCAGTCATCAACCTCCAAAGAACATTACACTTCTTGCAAAACATCAACATACATAGGCATTTGATATAAGGGATTTGTACATATGTGGTTTTTGTATAAGATAGGGCTGAAAGAACCAAACTTTGTAATATATAGGCCCATTGTATATATTTATATTGTAAATGAAATATTGCTTTTATATATAAATGTGTTGTAGTGTTATGGATAATGGCACAGAATGAGAAACTGGAGAACCAAATTCAAATTCCAGTTGAGTTTGTTATGTTCGCTTATACACAAATACCCTTGGGAAAGCTATGAATCTACATCTTCTGCCCTCTCCTCAGCTATGGATTGAATAGCAGGACAGAGTGTGTCCTATAGCCTTGCTTGGTAACTAATCTTCTACCTAGTGAGTCATGAATCAAAATTCACATGATTGTCCAAGTGTGTATCACATATGGCACTTAACTGAGTGAGTGATATATGAGTATAACTCTGTATAATTACTTTCACCTTATAGCAGCAAGCCATTATTATTTAGAAAAATCTCTGCAGGAGAATAGTAAGCTAAACTAAAAAACCAAGTTCAGTCTTCACAGGGTATTTCATACTTGTGACCCACACCAGACAAAGCTATGCTCAGTAAATATTTTGGATATCTCATTTCATTATCATGTAGTGGTTATGAAGCTGTAAGCAAGTTCAGTGATTTTGATCTTCATTGGGTGCTCTGCATTAGTAACTTTGTACTATACGAAGTTCATTATATTATGACCACATTGAGATTATCAGTTTACACCTAGTTCCCAAAGTCAAACCTGATGAGTAGTAAATGAATGACTGCTTAGGAACACCAAGTCATCATGTGCTCTAGAAATTTCAACTATCCTTTTCTGATGTTAAATATAAGTATCCTTTTTGTTTCCATTTTCTGTAAAACTTTGTCATTGTTCATGTGTTCAGTTCATGGTATTCTCAGCATCCTTCTGTAGAAACAGATATCTGTTGCTTCATGTCTCTTCTTCATCAATGTCCAGCATTTCACTGCCATCTATGAGGACTAATATTACATAACAGTTCAGTATACTTTTCTTTGTTTCCAACAAAATTTTCTTCTTTCTTAATATTTTGATTAGTTTTTGAAAAGCACCTTTCACTATCCTAATGTGCATATGAATTTTGGTGTTGCATTTTCCATCCTCTGTTAAAACACTTCCTAGATATTTACATTTTTGTACTTGCTTAATTTTGGTATCCCCAGTTTGTAATTTGCATGTTGGACTGTTCCTTTTGCTAACAACCATACATTCTCTTTTCCTACAATTGAGTGTTCATTCGTTCTTCTTACTTTTCTTAACTACCTTCAGTAGAAATTCCTGTACTTTCCATGTCTGCAATCAACAATGTATCATCTGCATATCTAATGTTATTAAGATTGTGGCTGCCAATAATGAATCTTAGTAGAACTTTTAATTCTCTTAGGAATACTTCACTGTAAAGGTTTGAATAGGTCTGGTGAGAAGACACATCCTTGTCTTATGTCTCTTTCTATTTTTGTATATTTATTGATTTCATTTTCTTCCTTATGCAAGCAGTTTGCTCCCAATATAAGTTTTGGATAATTCTAATATCATTCACAAGCACTTCCAACATTTCTTTGTAATATACTTTATCAAACACTTTTGCATAATCTATAAAACATAGGTGTACACCCATTTGTATCTGTATTGTTGTTATGGGAACTTACCTATAACAATAATGGACTCTTCCTGACACGATAAATACTGCGCCTCTCAAGAGGTACAATGAATGAATGGTGTAACGAGTCGAGACAATATTAGTTCACTCTAAACTGGATGGACAGTCATTACTAACACCTTCAACTTCTTGTACTATATTTCTGCTGTAATATATCTTTGTTATTCTACTCTTGTGTTTGTGTTGTTCTTCCTTGGTTCTAACTATTGGACCATAACTGTAGTGCGAGGATTTTGTACCATAACAATTGTGCTTTCTGATATAATTTTGAACATAAATATTGCATTCCTTGTTCCAGTATCTTTAAAGAAACTGCACTGGTCTCATCCTATTTCTGGTCTAATTCTGTTGCGGGCTCTATTCATCAGAACTTGGATGGTAACTTTTGTTATGTGGGTCAATAGGCTAATTGTTTAATGCAGTTTGCATTCATTAACACCATGTCTCTTGCAGCACTATGAAAACGAATCTACTTAGGTTTTCTGGTATATCACTACTGTTGTATATTTCATTTATTATGTTTATAATCTTATCAATGTTGAAATTGTCTAAAGCTGCCAGCATTTTTTAGAAAACCTAAACTTATTTTTTTTCTTTCCTTGAGCTTGATAGTGCAGACTTAGTGAAAACAGGGTAATAACTGAGCAGTACTAAATAAGACCAAAACAAGATATCCCTAGACATGGACAGCAAAACAAGAAACAATCTACCTGTATAGATTAAATAAAAGTTAAAAATTCAGTCTATATTTTTGAGATGAGGTATTATATACACTATTTACATTATTCAAACTATTGTCCTCATCTTTGTCGCCATATTTATTACAATGTTTCAGCCATTGTATGCTCTGGCCTTCTTCAGGTAGTTGAATGCCAAACTGAACCCTTTATTTCGCTCACTGGGGTAGACTGTTCTAGTTCTATGTGCCATGTTTAATGAATGTCAGTTGTCAGTTATCTGCTGTTAATTCTGCTCTCCAAGTTCTCCACTGCGTTAACTGGGTATTGAACTCACACTCTTTGGGTCCTGTCACTGGATCTAACTAACGCCTTTATCCACTGTGCCATGTGTCCTTGAAGTTTACTCAAATCAACAAACACCGCAAAAAGATCAGAGGTCACAATAGCCAACATATTTTGATAACAACAAAAAAGATTACAACAATAGTCTGAATGTAAATAATGAACCAGCATTTCTATTGTTAAATTTATACTGCATTTCATTTGTTTATGATTTATTTGTTAATAAAATACTTACCAATGCATATACTCTTTAGGTACTGTCATCTTTTAGCAAAAAGTAATATAATCATTATTTTGTATTATTGATACCAACAATGCATTACAGGGATTTTCTAAGCTTAGCTTCGACTGACACGAGAGCTTAGCTTCAGCTGACAATCCATTACTAAAAATTATTAGAGAAATTCCTGAACCTAGGTTTTTGGAGTTATCATCTAATTTAATTAATTTACTTATTGTTGTAAAATACACACAATGTATAATATCTACATTTCAAAGTTAAAAGGTTTTAATATTTTGAATAAGAAAGAAATGCAAAAATATGTTTTGAAAGGGGTATGTGCACAAAAATTATAAGATTTCAAAGTATACTTTTATTTGCAAGCACACAAACTAAAAAGAACTTGCTAATCTTGGAGATCTGTACGATTATGTTTTTTGTACTTAGCTTGAATAAAAATTAAATATTTGTCAAATTAAGAGACTGCTTGACCATTTGTACTTAAAAACTTACTGTATGAAAACAATTATGTCAGGAGGTGCTGAAAAGTTCTTGATCTTACTCACGTTCTGAAATCAAACCAAAGGACGTGTTATCATCAAATGTCTCCATTTTTTTTTTTTTTTTTTAAGAAAAATTTGTTGGTTGAGCCGAGAACTTCTGAGCCCATTTACGCGTGTGTGATTTTTTAAAATCCCATATTTTAGATTTTAGAAACTGACAAATTCTTCTAATAATTATATTAATTTGCTCATCTCATCTATGACAAGTTAATTTGTTGTCATGTCGGGCGGGGACAAACCATTTTCTCTACGATTAAAAGCTGCAATGATCTTTTGTAATTAGAATATTTGGGGCAATTACAAGCAGAAAATAACAGTAATTAACTGGATCACCACCAATGCAACAGTTTTTAGAGTGCGTTTTTTATTTATTTATTTACTTGAAGGCGGAGATTATCCGAAAAATGTCAGTGGCATCCTAATAATTACTACCGACTTCAAGAAATTCCGTAATACATTTTTTCTAACTGGTCGGGTACAGTCTGAAAGGATGTTGAAGTTAAGAGAAATTGGATGAGAAATTGTATATGTTGTGATATCACTTATTTTAAACTAAAGACAATAGGAAGTCAATAAGTGTGATAGATAAAAAGAGAGAGAGATAGAAGAGAAAAAAACGGTACTTTTTATCAACTTGAGAAAAGCAGTTTTTAGCAGGATAGTAATGATAGTGAAAAAAAGGGGAAGATAATGAAAAAAATAGAAAAACTTGATAGTGAAAAAAATAAAAAAGTTAAAAATGACGCACAAAAAAAGGAAGTAAAAGAACAATTATTACGAGAGGAAAAATTTGAACTTATTTTTATAATGAAAAGTCTCAACTAAAAATAAATGAAAATAAAACGAAACAGAAATAGATTCGTAACTTAAAAAAAAAAAAATGAAACAAAAGAAAAGTTGAGGGGAGGAACAATTGAATAAACATTTATTTAAGTTAAACAAGAATTTACAAACAAAAATGAATGATTGACATGAAAGAAAAAAAAAATAGAATAATTCTTTTTTTTTTTGTTGTTACCAGCTGTGGAATAGGAACCAGTAAGGAAGAAGGATGCGGGTATAACAATAAAACTAGTGATGGTGATGATGACTGATAAAAATTTGAACAGGAGTCGGAGAAACACTAATTAGGCATAACTAAAGAAACTCGTCAAGTAAATAACAGGAAAAGAAACTAGGAAAAACAAGTAGAGAGAGGCGAAAGGCTTCATAACTAATAGTGGCAGTGCGCGTTATCAGTGGGAAGAGCGTCGTTTCCCATTGGCTGAGCCCAACAGCAACAGGAGCTGCAACAGCGAAAACCACTTTATCAAGATGGCGGACCCAACATCAAGAATGGATAATAGACCAGGTAGGGGTTGCTTCACAAAACTGTCCCTTCGTTAATTATACTTTTCTTTTTTTTAACCGATTTTATACTGATAAACTCTTTTACGCCACTTGATCTTTCTTTTTAAAATTATTACTATAAAAGCGAAAATTTTCTTTTTTTTTTTTTTTTTTTTATTCATCAAAATTTAAAGTCGAGTTTATGTTCGTCTGCCATTCACACCCACATTTAGAGACTGGGCCGAAACTTCTTTTTTTTTTCTTTTTTTTTCTTTTTTTAAATTTATTTCTTCCCTTTTTTTCTCATTGTTTTATTGTTTTGCATGCCCAAACTACCTTATTTATTAAAATTTATTGATAATGTCTTTGAAGGTCAACATTTTTGTTCGTATTTCTTCCTCAGACACCACTTCAATAATTTTTGCTTGGTTTAAACCACATCCTGTAGTGTCACAAAGTGGGGGGTCACTTTGCAGTTGTTTCTTTATAGAAAAATTACCACCTATTTTGTGACCACTTCTCACGTTTTACTAGTATAACCCGAAAACTAGATGGACAATCCTGTCTCACTTTGATCGTATTTATTTGCTTGACAATAAAAGGAAATTTCCTTTATTTTGACATTTCTAGTTGTTGAATTTTTTTTTTTTTTAATTTAAAACTAGAGAATGTATTGTACTGGCTATCATTTCCATATTAAGAAGTGATCCTCAACTGGAGAGCTTAATCCCCAATTTGCGACCACTTGGTGCATGCACACGTAATATGCGATGATTTAAGAAAATTCTGTCACTCCGTCTCTCTCTCCTTCTCTGTGTGGGTTATATATATATATATATATATTATACTCCCGTTTTGTCTCACTAATTTAGATTTTTATAAAATATTTTGTTTTCTGATGACTGCAGATTATTGGCGAAACATGTCAAAATTCAAAATAAAAATTTTCAAAATCATCTATGTTTGTTAGTTGGTTTCTCTATCTCTTTTTTATGTCATCCTTTTTTTTTATTTTCTACTTTACACTTTTAAAACATTTTTTTCTTATCGATTCCTTTTTCATTTTTAAAAAGATTTCTTAAGTTGGAAAATAATACCCTTTAAAAAAATGAGTAATTTAGTTTGTCTATAATAAATTTAAAAAAATTCGATCAAAACATTGGCCATTATTCATCAGTTTTCTTCACAATTATTTTTTTATAATTTATTAAAAAAATTGCTTATTGGATTGACTTCACCTGGAATTTAGCAAATTTTGTTGGAGTTTAAAAAATTGATGAATACATTTTTTGTCTTATTGTTTTTTTGTTTTTTTTTTCATTTTATATTACCCACAAATTTTTAATCTTTTTAAAAATATTTTTTTATTTAATTTTTATGTAAGAATTCGATTAATATTTGTTAATCCCCGACTTATTGTCCACCTTTACATCGATTATTCTGTGTAGGTTGTTTTATGCCCGTAATTTCCATCCATCCATCCATATTTTCGTTTTCATTCACGTTTTTTGTTGTTGTTTTTTTTTTACATAATATTTTTTATATTTTATTTCTTTAATGTATAAATCTTAATTTCTCTGTCAATCTTATTTCTCTTTTTTTTTCTTTTTTAAATTCCATTGATTTACTTTATTTTTAATAATGTAAATCTTGAATGACGACTTTTATTTGCTTTTTATTTTATTTTGTAAAAATAAATAAAAGGCCTAAACAACATTTTTCCTGTAATTGTTTTTATCATTAAAATTTATTTGTTCGCATCTCGGAAAATTAAATGATTATTTTCATTATCAATATTTTTTGGGGTGAATAGAAAAGATTTACGCTTACGAGTTTCAAATTATAGCATTTATTTATTTATTTTTTTTTTTTTACCTTAATTAAAAAATTTTCTTTCTTATCCTCGAACAATCACTTTGTTTTTCTTTTTTAGAATCATATAGTAAATCTTGTAATTAATGACCTTCTTCCATGTTCTATATTGATTTTATTAACTCAAAAATGTGTCACTCACCTTAGACTGTTAGACCGATTTTTTTTCTTTTAAACGCCGATTCCTGGGTCGCTGTTAGTGTTACTGTTATTTCTTCATACCTTTGGTTGGATGGTATGTTTAGAAATTTTTCTTATAGCAGAAACAAAAGTTATCAAATTTTCTGTGTGAAGCCTAAGAGGGTCATCTCCATTTTGGCATTTCATTTAACTTCCACATTTTGTTTTCATTAGAACTCAAAAAGAAAAAAACACTTATTTTCAAATAAATAACGGTTATGAATTTTAATTGTAAATGAATTTTAGGGTTATTTAATAACCCTAAAATTCATTTACACCAAAAATAAATCATATTTACAATAATCAATGAATTGAAACTTTAATTAAGTACTCTAACCTCTGCTTTAAATTTAAAATAATCATTTATTTTTCGCGTTCTAAATCCTCAGGAACTTTACTGAGTGAATCATTATTGACGATTTCAATAAAAATTATACATTTATTTATTTTTTTAGCTTCACTTAATTAAAAAATAATATGCGACATCTGCACTTTTCTTTTCTTTTAAATACCTGCTCAAAAACAAAAAATTTTAAAAGCTATTCCTTTATTTTTTTATTGGTAGTAACTGGTAAGTTATCACCATACTTGGTTAGTTTTTGTCAGTAAAACTGAAAATTCTTATCTCATTATGATTAAATTCGCTATATAGCTGTTCAAAAACTAACCACTATGACATAAAGAGACTAAGGAACGGTACCATCATTCTTTTTTTTATTTTTAAACAAAAACAACAATGTGAAATTGAAAAGTTATCGACACGGAATTATTTTTATCTGAGTTGAGGATTGTCACAAGAAAGATTATATAGTCAACAAAAACAAACACATTTATTTCGGTGTGTGGGTGGGTAGGTTTTAGGTGGAATCACAATAGTGAAAAAGACATTTTTTGTGTTGCTTAGTTATTCTCAATTTTCTTCGTAATCTGTTATAATTTTGTAATTTTAATGTTATTTTTTTTTATCGCCAATATAAAATTCGGAATAAGATCCACTCGGAACAATTTCCTGAACTGAGTTACATGTACATTTCTGATTTTATTATTTAAGGTCCCCTTTTTTTTACGTTACTTTATGAAATTGAGTTATGGAACATTACTTAAAGTAAAGATTAATTTCCGGCAATTATCGCTTTCTTTTGAAAAATTCAGTATTTGGCTTCTTGTGTACAAAAATGGGCTGTGTTGTGAGTCAAGTGTTCTTTGATTGCCTAAGTTGACGTGAAAGAGGAAATGAATCTGGTGGTTTATTTATGATTCACTCTTAAAGGTTTTTTTTTTTTTTTTTTTGCGATGTTTAAAAAGAAAAAAATCAAGTAAGTCAAGAGAGCCTTTCTCTTGCTTGACCTATATATACCTCCACAGAAATGTTGTTTAAAATGAACTTAAAAATGAAAAATCTTACTTGAAGCTTTTACTAGTTTTATTTCCAATAAGCAAAATACTTTACTATATTTTAAGACTAATTTAAATTGGCTGAAAGGAGTTTTTGTTTTGAAATCGATGATTTTAGCACCATTTTTAACCATCTTTCAACACAATGTAATTCTCATTAAAAAAAAATTCAAAAATCAAATATACTTTTTAGAAACTTTATTTGAAGAATATTACCTGATTTAAAGTTTAATTATTAATCTGATTTCAAACAAATATGATTTACTTTTAGTTTAAAATATTACAGAAATGCATTTTTTAACCTGGGGGTAGGTGTTTATTTTATGTATTGGCAGACGGAAGTTTTTTTTTTCTATGGTGAACATATCTGTAAAAATTACTTGAGGAATATCATGTGAGCACCATTTTTATATAATTTTTAACTACCCTGTAATCTTAAATATTTAGGAAAATATTCTCTGTAATTTAATGTTTTATTGAATTTTAGGTACTTTGGCTTTAAATTTACTATAGTTATTGCTTTTATTTTCTGATAATGTATGAACATTCATATTTCTGAAAATTGGCAGTGGGGAGTTGGAAATTTTAGTGTCTTTTTTGTGGTGAAAAACATTGATTTAGAAATTTTTGTAAAAATAAAATAATTGTTGGTATCTAATGAAACTTTCAGGACTTATTCATAAATGAATGAAATTATTTCAGAAATGTTTCTTTTTAGAAAATCTTGTTAAAAAAATTTTTTTTTTATTTATTTATTTTTATTTGTTATTCCCCTGCACACACTTATTTAATTTTAAGAAATTAAATTTTGTAGAGCTTAATGTTATATACAGAATTCCTTGGAGAATTTAAATCATCAAATTATTTTTATAAATATAACTTTCCAGTTACTGAAAATCTGCTTTGAATCATAAAGTAAAAAATACAATAAAAATAAGACCTTATTTAATTAGAAAAGCTTTTAATTGCTTTTATGGATAAGATATATTATTGACATTATTGTCTTAAGAAAAAAAAATTAGCACGTTTATATGCACAAAAAAACAAAAAAAAACATTCAAAATTCTTTCTAACATAGTGGCAGTTGTAGTAAGCTTTGCTATTTATAATTGGTAAATAAGTTCTTAATTAACAATATCACCTACCTGCTAAAAATTAACACAGAATTTTAAAAGATTTAAGACTATAAGTTATAATTAAAATTTTAAAACAATGAAAACAATTCCTGTCAAAATCATTATTCATTGAAAAAATGTATTTAATGATTTAAATTCTCCAAGGACTTGTCCTTATAAGCATTATATAAACATTAATCTGTACAAAAATTAATTTCTCAATTTTTTAAAATTAAATAAGTGTGTATGGGGGGGGAGATAACAGGTAAAAAGAAAAATATATATTTTTATCAAGATTTTCTTAAAAAAAGAAATCTTTCTAAAAATAATTTAATTCATTTGTGATTAAGTCCTGAAAGTTTTGTTAAAATCTGACAATTATTTGATTTTTTTTTTTGCAAGAATTTTCAAATGTTTTTCACTGCAAAAAGATGCTCAAATATCCCATATTAATTTATGG